ATAAAACTGAATTTAAATTGGAAATGATGGCAAGATTGATGAATTGTTATTCCAAGTACACAAATAAAGCTCCTAATTCTAAGTTGCCGCAGTCCCTCGACGTGAGAAACTGCAACTTTTACAATAGTTAATTTTTCTGCCTAGAATAAAATTCTAAAAACTTCCATCCCCCCACAAAAACCCCTCCTTCCTTCCTTTATACCCCCTCTGCTAGTGACCTTGATTTTCATGATGTTCATGGAGAAAAATCAGGAAAAGTGGGCTCATGGAGAAAAATCAGGAAGACTGGGTTCGTGGAGAAAAACTAGAAAAGTTGGTGTGAATTACTGATGTGGCGAGGGCCTCACACTGTGGCGAGGGCCACCGTTTAAAAATAGAAAACGTGGCATACTAGCTGTGGCGAGGGCCACAACTTCAGGAATTCATTTTTCTACTCTTTTCTTCCATTCTTCTTGTTTCTTCGCCATATCTTGTCATTTTTCCGCATGTGAGCTTTGTGTTAGATTGTACCTGAAATATAATAGCAATACCGACATAACAAGACATAAATAAATGAAAACGGTACTAAAATGCATGCGAGTCAAGTCGAATATACGGTATAATTTAGCGTTATCGGTAACATCCTTATTCAACTATTCTTGTGGGTGACGCGTCTTTCAACCTATTACCGATTGAAAATGACGGCTACCATTTGACTTGTTTCCCCATATCTCATAAAATTTATATTCCCTTATCCACATGTGTGTTAGCACTTATGATCATACTCTAGAAAAAAATATTTGTTTTAGTTCATGGGAGCTAAAAACATGAAACACACTTTATATACATGGATAATCGAATTCCAGGCGTCTATGGCTGATTGTGACACTTTTCAAAATTTTGTGATTCTTTGTGTTTGAAAAAGATTTGTCTAGCTGGCATTAAGATGCTCTTGGTGTAATTAACCTTGGTTCGACTACATATACATTGACTAAAACTAATTTGGTTGTTGAACATTCTCGGGTGATAAATTAGATTATTTGTAAGCTCAAGCAATAAAATAATTGAATAAAGAAAACAAGAATGTAATGGCGCCACAATCCAATGACGAACAAGTATTTAAAAAACTATAGAGAAACAACGGCTCACAATTAATAATTTATCTCATCGATACTGCTATTATAAATAAAATCAATAATAAAAATTTGATTATGAATATTTATCCATTTTATTGAAGATTTAAAGCATATATTTGTAAATAAAAAATAATATATCACAACCATTTACATGTAACTTTATATATAAATAAGATAAAATCAAATATTTGCAATAATTTGACAATTCCAAGTAAATTTGTTTGCTCCAGGTGCAATTCAATTTAAGCTCCGCAAGGCCAATGTGAGAAGCAAAATTTGGAATCAAATTCATAAAAATAACGCCGTTGCCGGGGATCGAACCCGGGTCACCCGCGTGACAGGCGGGAATACTTACCACTATACTACAACGACTTGATGTTTGGTTGTTTGTAATAGTGGTAAGTGTTGGTTGTTTGTATTCGCTGACGTCCCAACAGTTAATTTCATCTCTCTTCAGTCGTCAATGAAATTTTGGCAACAAATTGAGAACTTGTTCTTGATCCTTCATAATTTTAACTCTAATTTCACCGACTGAAACAAAATTTTAGATTTAGAAAAATGCTTGGCGTTGGCGATGGAGGCGAAACCCCTTCAAGGTACATTCACAATCGCACTCTTTTATTCATTCACGCAACTTCACATCATACCATGGAATTGAATTAATGAAAATTAAGAGATTGTTTTTTAGATATGAATTGTTGAGCATGGTGAAGAAGCACTCAAATTTAATTGGGAGAACCGTTGTTGAAGATCAACAAGATGCTCCTGATGTTGAAATGGATATGAAGTTTTGGAATGATGTTTTTGATTTGTATTTTGTTCGCGGAAAAGAATCTAGGGGTCGCCAAGATGATGATCTCGTTTTCTTCGTTAGAAAATTGGTATAATTAATCTCCTCTTTTCTATTTATTTCCCACTATTTTCCCTGTAAGAAGCATAATTGTTGATATCACAACACAGGTTTCTAGAGGTTCTGCTTCCAATTACGATACAGAAAGTCTTGATCCTTATTTTGTACGCAGGTGGGCACCTAAGGTAAATTCATTCATTAATATATCATGCTGCTGCTCAAATTCAGTATCTTCAAATTGTATGCTGCTCAAATTCAGTATCTTCAAATTGTATGCTGCTCAAATTCAGTATCTTCAAATTGTATGCTGCTCAAATTTATTTAAACACTATCTTCAAATTGTGTGTGTCTGTCCTTCCTATACATTTGATACAATGATACTAGTATTTTTAGTTTTATAGGATTTCCTTGTGTGCATAAGCTTCAGTTTATAAATTTGTTTCAGTTAGACCACCTTGTGTGCTTAAGCTTCATATTAGCTGCTCACTGGATTGTGATAAGTATTGATAGCATGAAGGTGTCTATTTATAGGCTTTCCATTTCTGCCGACTCATTTTTTAAATTTTTCTCTACCAGTTGAGCAGCCTAATTGATGAAACTTCAATTGATGTGGATTGGAGGCGTTCCTTTTACTTGAATTTAATCGCTCATACATCTTTCAGTGTAACTGTCGCAATTTGCAGGTAATCAATCATATGCTCATTCCTTAATTTCACGTCCGCCAACCTATTTCACCTTGCCTAATCTCTTGTTAAAACTGGTTTCACAAGCAATCAGATCTCCTTTCATTTTATTTCATTCCTATTACTATTACGCCTACATTACTTTATTATTGCTGCACACTCTACCAATAATCAATCTTTGAGTCATTTGTTTTCTCAAAATGCCCCGGCGATGGGTTAGCTCTACGATTTTATCTCTGCATGGCTACTTCTGTTCCCCAAAATTTCTTATACAATGACTTCCAGTTTTCACTTTTCTTGCTATAATATTGGTTGGATACTTTTTCTCTATCGATCATAATTATTAGAGCAACTTTTTAAATTCTAATCCAAACATTCTGCAGTTTTGAATAAGGAAAATCTTATATGCTCTAACTAAAATGCCATCATCAATGGGTTCTTATGAGCAATATATAAACCTTTTAAGTTTTTGGGCTGTTGTTATCTCTCTGGCTAATTTGATTCAAATATATCTATTTCTCTAGTCAACAGGTTCTTCAAAACCATCAGGCTGGGAAGGATACATCTTTATCCCCTATATATAAGGTAAATGTAGTTAATTAATCTTTCTCTACCTCTTGAATTATCTTCACTTCCTTTACTTGTAATTGTTACTTGTAATTGTTTGTAAAAGACAAAAATCAATTTCTTTTATATTATTTACCCTGTTTTTGTTTGTTTGCGAATATTCTCAAGAAAAACAAAATTTTGACTGTTATGATAGATACCGATCTAGGGATGAAAAAGGATAGATTTGCAAACCTAAAAAAACCCTTTGGCGAGGTGAGGGGTGATTAGTGAAGCCTGTCCATCTTTGGGAGTTAAATTGATTTTTGAAGATAATGTTCAAACTACTGCTGTAGCAGGCAGCAGGCTTTAGGCCTTAGTTTCTTTGATGGATGTCTAGTTAGGGATTAATCAGACTTTTATTTTTAGGCCGTCTATAATGTTTTAATCCATATCAAGTGATTACCATATCATACTCCACTAGAAGTTTTGTATGTACCTTTTAGCCTAAGCGGCAACCCCACTCTTGAAAGTATGATGCTTTCTCTTTGCTAGAATAATTTCTAGATTTTTATGAGCATCATTAGGGAATTTCAATGGATTAGTTAATACTATATTGAAATTATATTTAAGAAATAAAATAACTTTGAGTGTAAACATGCTTGCACACCATAAGATCTAAGTGTTAAATTCTTCAAGACCATTGGAGAAAGTGAAAGATAATATGAATATATGAGCATCATTAGTAGTCTAAGGTATATCATTGATTGAACTAGATTCGACATTACCTATGTAGTAGGATTTGTTAATGCCATGGTTTTAGGATTGACAAAATTTTACTAAAATATGATTTGCAACATGATGTTATAGAAGGTGTTCTAACATGTTGGTTAGATTCATTTGAAAGTAGATGTTCTGACAGATGTTGTAACATCCTGTATTAGAACATCAGTACATGATGTATTGTTTCTTGACAAATTTAAATTGATTATGTGAGATTCTTTTTGGGTTTACCTCACTGATTTTTCGCAGGTCAATAATATTTCAATCTGAAACATTTGATTTATCTCCAGCTGTACACAGTTTGCAAAAATTGGACTTTGAGACAATTTAAGAAACGTTGTGTTTTGTTCCAAGATTTAAGGAGATCTTTCTGCATAAATTGGTGCAGCTCCCAGCGTGTCTGATAGCTCTAGTCTGGGAGAGGAATTCTTGCAATCCCTCCATGTTGTTCCGCTTGTTGTTTTCCCTCCTACTGCTGCTCCGCCAGTCACTATTCCTCCAGTTGCCCTACAAAGAAAAGAACCAAGACTGTTGCAGTGAGAGTGAGAAGAAATCTATTAAAAGGCAAGTCTTCTTCATCTCTAACCATCCCTTAACAAACTAGGAAGGATGAGTCCACTGATAGGTCATTGAAAACTTCTGATGCTGAACCTAATATGTTAAAAACCATATCAAAAAGGGTGTTGAAGGAAACCCTAATACCCCTAATACTAGGTAAATGATCATGAAATTCGTAGATTTGTCTCAGAAGTCTTGGGTATTAACCTTAATGTTGCGCCAGATGTTGCGACATCTTTTGCACAACTTAGATATTTCACTCAGAAACCTAACATGACAATTAACACTGAGTACTCAGAACATACTCAGAATGAAAGGACTTTTAAAGATATCGATGAAAACAAATCCACTGAAGGAATAAAAAATCATGGTGATCAAGAAGATATTGTAGTGGGGAAAGGTCAGAATCCTGATGTGATCATTATTGATGATTTAGATTTTGATGATACACTAATTTCCTAGAGAATGACTTCTGTGATAGCCAAGAGATTGAAGAATAGAAGAGGAAAAGCTATTGACACATCTACCAATAAGAGTCACTTGTTTGGTCCTGATACGAGAAAGAGTAAGGTAGAAATTTCTTTTGGGCAAGAAAAATCCTTGAAAAGAAAACCAGCAGTATCTAGTGACTCTGAATATGAGGGAGATGTTAGAGCCAATGTTGAAGACATTGCTTCATCTGCCAGGAAGATTGCTGCGGGAAGGAAGATTCCTCTCAACATACCTGAAGTTCCAATTGATAATATCTCCTTTCACTCTGCTTCATATGTAGAAAAATGGAAGTTCATGTGTTAGAGGAGGCTAACTTTAGAGAGAGAATGAGGCATATACGCTCTTGAATGTAAAGAAGTCGTGAGACTCACTGAGGAAGCATGTTTGATGACAACTGTAGCAGGTTTGAGAGAGTGCTATGAGACATTTGTGAGAGAGTTCATAGTAAACATTCCTAGAGAACGTGACAATATAAGCAACAAAGAGTACATAAAAGTGTTTGTTAGAGGAAACTGTATAGAATTTTCACCTCAGATAATCAATAGGTATGTGGAAAGGAATGTAAGTAAGCAGGTGGAAATGGAGGTTATTGATAATACTATATGCATAAAAATCTCAGCAGAAAGAGTGACGTATTGGCCAAGGAAAAAGAAACTCTCAGTGAGTGATCTAACTATTAAGTATGTTGTGTTGAATAGAATAGGAGTTGTCAACTGGGTTCCTAAAAATGACACATCCTTAATAACTATAAGATTAGGAAAGTTCATTTATATAGTTGGAACAAAAACCAAAGTTGATTTTGGTAACTATGTATTTGAGCAGATTGTCAAGCATACACGTTCCTATGGTGTGAAAATGCCAATTGCATTTCCCACCATCATTTGTGGCATAATTATGAACCAACATCCTGGGATCTTGAACATTTTAGATGAGTAAAGCAAGAGAGAGTCTCATGTATCCTTGCACTACAAGATTTTCACCGGGTCACGTGTCCAGGATATTGCTACAACATCTGGCAAGGATGAAGTTGGTCCAGCTTCAACAGTAGTAACCATTTCTGAACTCAAGAATACTTGTAAGGAATTGGATGAGACCATCAAGAGTTGTACTGCAAGAAAGATCAGATTGGAAAAGCTTATTCAGTCTTTGGAGGCTAAGAAGGATGTGGCTGATAAGGGAGAAGAAGAACATGATAATGATGGAATTGAAGGAAGCAGTGAAGAGGAAGAAACATCTAGCAACACCAGTAGGTGAACTGATGTGCTGGTGTTTTAGTATGTTTTGTGTTTTGTGTTTATCTGTTTTGATAACATTACATGTATAAGGGTTTATGACTCATTTGTTTCTTTGTAAGCCACTTTGTGTTATTACGATGTAATATCTGAATTCTTGTGTTACAAGTGTGTGCTTTCACCTGGTGCTTATTAGTTTGTTTGTTTCCATTAGCAATTTTTATTTACATCTAGTGCTCATAAGTATTCTCTGTGTTTCCACTACTTGTTTACATTTACTGTATTTCTTTTAGTCAAGATTTTGGCTAAAAAGGGGGGATAAAGTGTTGTGTTTGGTGTGTGTGTGTGTGTGTGTAATACAGTGGGAGAACTGACTTGGTGTTTTGTGTTTTATCGCAAATATTGTGGATAACAAGAGTTTCCACCGACTTTTTTTTATCCAATAAAGGAAAGGTTGAAAAGAATAGGAAAGACCTTTTGAGAATTTTCTTGATTTTGGGGGGTAGGTTATGAAAAGGGAAGGTGTTAGCGCCCTTTTCATTCGTAGTTATCTACGGGCTCTTAATTGCTAGCTCACTTTGAAATGTTTTGTGTTTGTGTAAGTTTGAAAATATTTTGAAAACGCCTTTGTACGACAAACTTTGCAATGATTCTCGTATCGTTGAGAATGTATATAAAATGTTGGTTTTGAAAATATTTGTTGAAATGAGTGTTTGGAAAGATGTTTTAAAAATGCCAATGTAAGGCAATTTTGTAATGATTCTCGTATCGTTGAGAATGTATACAAAATGTCATTTTGAAAAGTGTTTTGAAAGTATGAAGTGTAATGACTGTTTTAGTTTGCGAGCAAGCAATTACGAGCAATCTACCTACTCAAAAAGTCTTTGTTCTTTTCCTCCTCCTTTAGATAATGCTTGTCTACCATTGGTTAATAGGAAGCCATATCATTGGATGAGAGGAACAGGTGTGGGTCATCGTACAGTCATAGAAGGAAACTTGTAAAGTGTTTTAGCAATTGTCGTAAGGGACTAAGATCGTTTACCGAATGCAACATTGAAGGTCCATCGAGGGACTACGTTCTTTTATTCAAGGGTCTTGGCTAAAATATCTCATGTTCGGGGGACATGACTGTTTTTATCCGAGGCAACAAGGATGAGTAACCCTAGAGGTGTATGTGTGTAAAGTGTGTTTGATTCATGTATTTTGTCTTAAATTAGGATTGTCTAATGCTTGATTTTAGTCTTGTCATGCAAATCCTAATTGCTAACAATAATAAGGAAAACAATAAATTGCGGAATTTAAAGGTTCTACGCTATTACAATGCTTTGGGAATAGAGGGAAGAAAACAATAAAGCCCTAATTTCTATTACAAATCATTGAATATGAATTACAATAACAACACACAAAATGTAAAGATGAAGAAGAAATTATTTTTTAGGGTTTTTTGATAGAAAGGTTTAATATTAATCTTAACTAAATTAATTATTTTATTTACAAAAGAAGTTAATTATTTATTTAATCAAAATCTAAAATCTAAGTTAATTAAAATAAAAACTAAATCTAATTTAATTTGTTTAGAAAATAATTTTTTTGTTAATGTTAGTTAGAAAAAAATATTCTATAATGTAAAAGAAAGAATAAAATTTAATTTAATAAAATAAAATAAAATGCTTAAATTAAAACATTTTTAATTTAATTAAGGGAAAATATATTTTTGTATAAAATAAATAAATAAATGAAAATATAGAGAAAAAAATATAAGGCATATAAAAAAGTATTGGGCTAGGATGTTTGAAAAGAAAAATGGAGGTGAAAAAAAATGGCACGCTAGGCCCAAAAGATATTTTGGTTCAAGTCAGAAAAATAAAACAAAAATGGGTCTGGTTATTTAAGTAAGAAGAGTGGTGAGAAGAAGTAAAAACAAAAATGAAAGAGCCCAAGTCAAGAGGCCCAGACGCCTCATTTAATTCAATGCTGCTGATTTCATGAGGGTCCATGATGGACACGTGAGCTTGGAGCGTGGCATTGGATAGCTTGCAAATCTGATGGCCTTGGTGTGAAGCGCATGGTAGGCGCACCTTACTTGTATGCACAGAATCTGAAATAAACAAATAAGTGAAACACAAAAGGGTACCACTGGGCTCGAACCCAGGTCCCTATAGTTTAATGCCTTACGCACGCTCTCTCTGCCACTGGAGTGTCTGTTTCATCCGTTATTAAGACAATTTGCAATAAATATAAAATAAACCCTTCACTGATTTCACTTCACCCCTAACCTCGCACCAACCTCCATTGAAAAGATTTTTGAATTTCTGATCTTGCTCATTTCTCAATCATTTGGAAAAGTATAAACATGAAACTTGCTCCATGTTTCAATACGAATTCAACCATGTAAACAACTTAAGATATAAATCAAAGATGAACATTAATTTTTGTTGGTACCAAATAAAACCTATTTTTTTCAGAAAGTTCATCTTAAAAATTCTCATCACTCAGGCAACATAAATGAAAACTAAGGGCATGATTAGCTTCAGGGCTATGATGTCTACATTTTTTATTCACAAAGTAACAATTAATGCTGCTTGTAGAGAGAGTTCAAAATTGAGAAAACTTACCTCAAAACTGGAAATCGTGTATGGAGTTTGAGCACTTCTATCCAGTAAGAAAAGATCAACTATCAATGTCATGGTTCAAGACTCTGAATAATCTCAAAAGAAGAAGAAACAAAAGAAAAGAAATACTCCAACTATGGGCACTGCTAATGTAATCATAACTATTCATCCCTCATCCTCATGTGAGTTAACTACTTCTCAGTCTGCTACCATTTGTTTAAGTTCTAATCTTAGGAACATAGTTTTACCACTTCCTATATCCTCTTCACTATTTTCCACAACTGTTATCACTTCTCCACTTCTTCATACATCCACAACTCAAAAAGCTGTTTCACAGTCCTTTTCTTCAGAAACTTTTATCCCAACAACCATCATCACACCAATCACATTTTCAACCAGTCCTTCTAAAATTTTTCTTACAAACATCTCTCTTATTACCACCACTCCAACCCTACAAATCTCAACAACTTTATTAGAATTTTCTGATCCTTCCTCACCAAACCTTATCGATAATCAGAATTCATCAATCAACCAAACTGAACCAGAAGAGACTCCTGCTGAAGAAATTACTCTTAACCATTGGAATTCTGATACATCAACTTTGTGTCTTGAAGAGATCATTTTGCTTTTCAAAGAAAATGCCTTGGGATAAATTGAAAAACTCTGACTTATTTGACTCAAGTACTGATTCCTCTTATCTGGGCAATACCTGGGACAAGTTTAGCAGATGGATAAATACTAAATTTCTCATAATCCAGAATCTTTCTGGTAATACCAAAGATAAGTACGTTATTGAAGCTAAAGAAAGAGCTCTAGTTCTTGAAGCTCAGAGAGCTGTGTTGTACCCCAAAATTTGCCCTCTCTTTTATCAAGACTTTTCTCACAAGATCTCTTTGACTCAAGACTGGATTAGGGTTTGATTAGCTCAAGACATCTCATCTTACACTGATCACCCAAAATTAGGGTTTGAGTTTGCCCAAGGATTTTTGGGCTATCAATACTTCATATGACTTTCAAACATCATTATGGACCCCTAAGATTACTCATGACAAGTTTCAAGCTTTGAACCACATTTTTGATCAGTCAATTGGACAGTTGACCTAAAAATCAACTATATTGGAGGAAAAGTCAACCATGACCAATTTACAGTCAAACTTCATAATTTTTAATCCACATCAACATTTTAGGCTCATATATATCATTTGATCAAGTTTGGACCATAATTTCTCAAGAAATTTGAACAAATCATCAAAAGGGCAAAATGGTCAAAAATTAGGGTTTTGACTGAGAAAGAGTAATTTATGATTTTTGACTTAGCAAATGACCAATTGATTTGAAGCATGATTTCAAGGGTTCAATTGTATCATCTTGACCTAATGAAATAGTTTAAAACATTGCAATTTCATTGGATTGACAGATGAAATTTACAGTCAACTGTATACTGAAAAGTCAAACTTTGACTTTTTGATTAAAATCAAGTGCCAAGGATCATAATTCATCAAAACATGTCAAAATGTGAAACTTGTTCATCAAGGAATCAAATATTGAAGATTTGGTTTTAAAATTTGGAATTTTCTTAACTTAGAAATTTTTTCTAAGTATAGAAAATTTCTTATTTTTTCTCAACTTTAAGCCAATTTTCCACCATGATACAAGATGATTCAAAGAAAGTTCCCAACATGAAAGTTGTAGACCTCCATGAAATCTACAACTTTGAATCATACATTTTCCATAAAGATGCTTAGATCTCAAGATATAATTTTATGAATACATGCCCATGAACTAAAATAACTTAGTGAAATTTTGCCCTAATTTAGGCAGATTTTGACCCAACTTCATGGCAATTTTTCACCTAGTTCCAAGAGGAATCTTGAAATTCATTTCAAAGATGAGTTATAGATAACATTGCAAGCTTTCCAAAATGTTCAAGAACTCCTTGAGATCATTTTTTAGTAGAGAGAATCGAAGAGATGAAGTTGGCAATTTCTCACTTTGTTTTCAAGCCATTTCATGAAGAACAAAGTTCAAATCTGAACCTATGCTGCCTAATCCATGCTTTACAGGTCTCAAACTTGTTTCTCACTTCATAATT